ACAATAAACACGTCCGCTCAGTTCGACCGCTCGCACGAGAATGATTTATACTTATATGTTTTGTGCTGGGCTGGGATGCTTCTTCCAGTTTCCAATAGTATATGCGCCACAGATCACAGAAACAATATATGCTCGAAGGCCCCAGTCGAACCTAACTTAACAATATCTTTCCAAATCCTGAGTTCTGCATTCTGTGACCAATTTGGAAAAAAAAATTATTTTCTATTTTCTCGTTCCGAACAAATCCATACTCCCGTCCTCTCCTACGTCTGTATTCTGTATCACGGTTCCACAGTTCATTACGGACCGTACGTCTGTATTCGGTATGTTTTATGTAGTTAAGATATTCTGTGTCTACGTCTACGTGACGTGGAACGGCTACTGAAACGTCACCAGTGAACCTGTAATGTTGTCAATTTGATTCTATTCTCCGACTCCGTATTCTCACTTGACATAACGTAAACTTGTCAGCTGTCTTGTATTTTCTTTTATTTTATTTTCATTTCAAGTGAAAACATGTCAGAAAAATGGGAAATCGTCACCAAAAAGAAAGACAAAAACAGCAAACTACCAGTGGTAAAAAATAACGGCAATAATAAGGATGTTAAAGGCAAGAAAAACTTACTGAATGGAGTGAAAATTGAGGAAGTCTGTAAGTAGAAAATGTAATATATATTGTAAGGAAACGGTGGCAAAATTGTAGTTGTATTGTAGTACCAAAGTCACAAGTGCAGAACTTGTATTCAAGTAATAAAAATAACAAGGAGAATAAGAAACCACAAGACAAAACTAAGCAAGAGAAGACTGATAAGAAGTCACAGAAGAAGGACAAACCTCAAGAACCACCAAAACCAAAACCTCCAAAATCTATTCAAAGTGCCCTTAATGCAGTAAGATTCTATTTTTTACTAATGTTAAATATATTTTAAAGTACGTAATAAATGCCTTGGGGTAAAACATATTTTTCATATCTTTTAGATTGATGTCGATGAGTTTAATTCTATTTTTGAGAAAAGCAAAAACCATTACCCTGATGCTCCTATTGTTTGGCTGAAGGAATTGGTACAATTTTTAAACCAAAAAGTGCCCGTTGATGTTCAGGACCATGTTTTTTCTTCAAAACCTGAAGGTTATCCCCTTAACTTGGTAAATGTTTTACCTCTTATCATTAGGAGAATTATGAACAGCATGTATAATGTAATTTTAGGTGCCGTCTGGTTTGAAAAATGTAATCGAGAAGTCTGTAAAAGAGGCTGGAAAAAATAATACGCAACTGTTTTTTGATATTTGCTTAACGTCTATGGCGACTGATATGAGTAGGGGTCTACCAGCATTAGGAAATAAGTTTTATCTTCAATATATTTCAATGAATGAACCAAATCTAATATCTGTTAATATTAGCAAGCACGTGACGCTTCGGAATTCTTATCAAAATCGACCAAATATAGGGCTTTCAATCCTCTGGGCGGTGGGCCATGTCGGTATTAGCGATTTACACAGTGGCTTAACAACTTTCAAAGAATTGTTCTTGCCTCTACTCGACATGAAAAATTATACTCGCTTTGTTGTAAAGTACCTTTTAGACCTGCTGAATCGTAAATATGACGAATCCATTTCGACAGATGAGTTTTTGTTAATTCTAGACACAATTTATCTAGACAAAAAGAACTTCCCTGTAGATTTGAAGGAAGAGTTGGATCGAAAAGTCACAAATCTAAAGGCACTTTTATTTAAAAATAAAGAGAAACATCATGCTTACGTAGAGGTGTTATTGAAAAAAATTGTAACAAATAGCAATAAGCCATATCAGAACTGTATTTGTGATGTTCTCGTTGATATTTTTGCTAATGATGCAACAACGATGTCAATCTGGAATAAGGTTTATGCTAAAAATGTAGCTGCCAGCTCGGTTCTTCTTCGCCGTATAGGTATTATAGGTCAAATATAAGTGTATTTTCTTAGCGGTAACGAGTATTATGTTCCAGGCGATAATTGGAATAATATTTCAAAACAAATAGACAAAGCAGCTGTTCGAGATTTGTTGAATAATCTTAAGGTTATTAATGAGGAGCTATCACTAAGAAAACGAAAGGAAGACGGCCTGAATGATTCTATTGCTAGTATTAAGGTAACGAATATTTTTTGTATATTTAAAGAAAATTAACACATTAATTATTACGGTTTTCTAATAATAATATACACAGATTTAGGTGTAAAAACATTAACTGAAGCATATGCTCTGGTCACAACAAAGTAACATCGATATGCTTCTTCAGAAAATTACCTTTAAAATAAACTGCCAATGGGAGAGGTAATACTACTTAATTAAACATTTTGGTAGTTATCAGGTATACCTATACATTCGGTTTCAGTGATTTATTTTGAAAAGGAGAAGCTTCAGTTATTTTTGTACACTTCATGTAAGGTTGTCTGTATAGTACATACTATTTTTACTTATTGTGATTGATAAACAAATAGTATACAGGGTGATTCACTTTTTATGTTTAGGACTTTCACCATCGATAGATCTCGTCGAAATAACTTCATTTTGAAGTATACACTTTTTCTTCCAAAGGCTTCCTTTTAGAGATATAAGCTCTTGACAAAACATTTTCTTTTTTGGATTTTATTTATTTTTTCTTAAACTATGAAATCCATTTGTTTTATATTTAGTATGAAGTGTACGAATGGAAAGCTCTGTCGATTTTATAAATTATTGTGAAAATAGACCAATCATAGGCTTCCGTAAGGGGCTCTGATTGCCCCTATTTTTAATATAATTTCTACGCCACTGGAAATTTTCAAATTTTTTTATATTGCAGTTTATTCTACAGCAAAAAGGACTCTTACTATTTTTAAATGAAATGCTTGATTTTTGAGAAAAATGGCTTCTGATGGATTCATTACATGTGAAATGGTTAAGTTTTTCAAACAACAAACAGAAATAACAATTAACAATAGAGAACAAAAGAAAAAGTATCACAACAAATGTTCAAAATGTCCTCGAACCTCAATGCATTTCTCACATCGCCTAATTAAGCTTTGAATTGCTCTCCTAATTATATTGAGGTTATGTTTAAAAGATTATTTTTAACTTTTCAAGGGTACAGACTTTCTTTAATATATCCTCAAATTCATTTTGAAAAATGTCCAGTGATGTGGAAATTATATTAAAAATAGTGGCCTTTACGGACGCCTATGACCGATCTCTTTTCATAATAATTTGTCAAATCGATAGAGCTTTTTATTCGTACACTTCGTACTAAATATAAAACAAATGGCCTTCATAGTTTAAAAAAAAAATTAAAACCAAAAAAAAATATTTTCTCAAGAGCTTATATGTCTAAAAGGAAGCATTTGGAAGAAAAAGTGTATACTTCACAATTATATTATTTTGACGAGATTTATCGATGGTTAAAGCCCTATTCATAAAAAGTGAATCACCCTGTATAATATAATATTGTTGATAACAATAACACAACAATAATTGATAACTTCGCTGGACTATTCATTATTAGTAAAAGCCCAATGTTTCCGACTTTTTTTTGCTTGTATTTTAACTTACAGTTTGAACTTCCTTTCCAAATAAATATAAATATGTATAATAATAAAATTAGTAAGAGTAATATGTTATCTAGTTGGGCTAGTAGAAGTAAAATTCCATTTTTAACATAATAACTTAAAAAAAATCGTGTGGGCCTAACACTCCCCTTAGTTTTGTTTAATTTTGTAATAATAACTAGGAATACAATAATAATCAAATTAATTTATGCTATGGTTATCGATCACGGTTTCCGGCGTTCCGGCGTGCGCGCGCAGGGCGTTGTAAATTGATTTCCTCGATTTTGCGCGTTTCTCGTAACAACGGTGGTAGCAAACGTCGATGTTGCTTTAGAAAGGTGTTTAAGTTTTTAGTGTAAAGTCCGCGAAATATTTCGTTGAATTATAAATCGTGTTGTTTCTGTATAACAGATTTAATAATTTTAACATTTTAGATTCCTTTAAACGATTCAGCCATGGCCAGTAAACGTTCCGCAAAGGTATTAATTCAATAGAAAGTTAGAAAAGTAAAAAACAATCGTTCATTAATTGTATAAGGGGATTTCTAGAATCGCTTATAATATATTTTTATGGAATTCGAACTGATTTGTAATCTAGTAGGTAAAAGTACATTTTGACAAATCCACTCGGTTTTACCGCGCCATTTGTGTTTCATATTTTTTTTTCAGTATACGTTTTTTTGACGTTTTATATTGTTTACAAAAAGCTACGAATTAATAATTAGATTATTTATATATGTATATATACAAGTTTTGACGTTTTTGTTTTCAGAAAATTGAGGAGAAAATGGTTGTTAGGAAGAGTTCCGGCTTGTCTTTCAAAACAATTTCGTTTTTGATTATATTGGCTATAGCCGGATTTGTATATCTTGATATAAAACAGCATGGCAGCTGGAAGGGTAAGGAGTTGTTGTTTGGAATTTAAATTTAATTTCAAATTTCTCTTTGCTTTTGAAGAAACTAGAACAAGCAGGACTTTGAGAGAATACGGTGTGTGCGAATACAGTCACAGGGGAATGGCAAAAGTGAAAGAAGGCTGGGCATGGATCGATACGAGAATAGAAGAAAATTTCCCAGGCTATCATAAAGCTGTAGCCGATTTTAGTTTGCCATATGTACAGTTATTTTCCGACTTGGGCAAAGTTACCTGTAATGCATTCCATAATGTTAAGGAAGTATTCATCGAGAAATATCCTGTTGTTTTACAAACTGTAAGTGGGCATAGTATTTACTGACTGGTTTAAAGTTGTTTGCACATTTGCGAGGATGTGATACTTATTGTCTTTAACATTTTGGGTGTTTTGGAATTGAGTTAATTAATTTTTATATACACAAAAATCTGGAAAAAAAAATTCTGCAACTGATTTTAGTTATTACGGTGTAATGCGGAGATAAATATTTTTTAGGTTGAATCTTATGCACCTGGATTAATCGAACAGTCCCACAAAGCCGTTACCAATGTTTACTCTACCTCCATCCTGTTCTACAATAAAAGCGTAGATTATTTGAGGAAGGAAATATTTGTGTAAGTTACACATTACAAAAGGTACTTTTAAAATTATCTCTTTAAAACGAGTTCAAGAACAACATTTAGTTAATTGAAAATATTTATTTACAACATCGTAAACAGTAATTGCTCGGATACTATACAGGATGTTTCACATAAGAACCGACACATAGCAGGGGCGTATAGAGGAACCCAAATTATGGTGATTTGATGCAACTTACATTTATACTAAACTGCACCCCTGAGAAGTTATATGCGTTGAGAGGAGTTTCAAATTCCGAAAAAAATCAATATCTAGAAAAACCAAATTTGGTACACGGTGTGATGCTCTCGGTAAGAGCATTAATCGACAGTAGGTAGAGTTCAATTGAAGCTTTTTGAAGGGTTGATTTGGGGGGTTGAAAAGTTATGAAAAATTGTATCATTGGGATTTCTGGAGAAAGTTGACGTCAAACAAAAAGGTATCCAATACAAAAGTTGTAGATCATGCAAAAATCTACAACTTTTGTAGAGGTCACTTTTTAACATAAGCTCAAAATTTCTGAGAAAAATGCGAAAAACAGGTTTTTTTCTGATTTTTTATTTCTCATTGCCGCACAAATAATTTAATTTTAACGAAACTTGGTGAAAGTATACCTTTCTGTGTCTTAAATATCCACAAATTTTTTGAGATAAAAAAATCAAGATCTTTCTGATATTTATTTTTTTCGGCCCGACACTTTTTTTCAAAGAAAAATTCTACTTAAAAAAATCATCATAGAGTTCTGCCGGTAATCATTTTTTGCGTTTTGACATATACTTTTTGGTGAAATAAAAGAATCTGTAATCACAGTTCAAAGACATGCTCAAAAATGTAAAAAAATAAAAAATTACTTGCAACAAAGAATTTTTCAGTTATTGTTGATAATTTGTTTAAATTAAAAAACATTCAAAAACTGATTACACCATTCAATTCTACAGAAAAAATTAAAAAAAAAACTGTCATTGTTTGACCCAAAACTTTATTTTTGTTCAGTACGGCTATTAGGGTGGGTCAAAAAAAATTTCCTCAGTATTAGAAAAAAAAATTCATATCTATCAACTGTTTGTTAAAAATATCTCTCGTCATATACTTGTAGGAAATTGAACTCCCTACAAAAAAGGTCTCTTACAATGTTTTTGTAAACCTCACCGTTTAAAAGATATTAAAGGTTGAAGTTTGATTATTTTAAGACAAATATCTGTTTTGCTTATGAATTTTATAACTCGTTAACAAAAAATTATTATGAAATGCGCAATTCATAGTTTTGTAGGAAATTAACTGCTCTACAAAAATGGTCTCATGATTAGTCGATTAAACAAAGCGTTTAAAAGATATTCATCGTCAAACTTCAATGCACGCCAATTTTAACAGTTTTTGATTAATAATTCGGAAAATTTCAATTTAGTTTATGAGTTTCAGGGAAATTTATAAAAATATGAACAGAGAAATGTTTTAAACTATTTTTCTAATTTTTTTTAGTCGTAAGCATGTTTGGTTACATCGAAAAAAAATTAGTGCATTATTTCTGACTGAGAGTCAATGATTCATTAAATCTTGAAAAAATAACGTTTTTGTTAGAAATTATTATTATTAAGTATTAATCTTAAAGAAAAAAAATGTTCAATTTGTTATTAAAAAGTTTTTTTATTTAATTATCAAGCGAGTTATAAAATTACAAACATTTTGGATTTGTGCTGATTTTTTTTTAACTTTTTTGTAATTTTAACCATTAAGTATGATAGCGAAGAATTTTTTGACTGCATTAGGAGCTTCACTAGAAACTCAAATTTGTATAAATTTCCCTGAAACTTAAACTAAATTGAAATTTTCCGAATTATTAAACAAAAACTGTTAAAATGGCATGCATTGAAGTTTGACGATGAATATATTTTAAACGTTTTATTTAATCGACTAATCATAAGAGACCATTTTTGTAGAGCAGTTAATTTCCTACAACACCATGAATTGCGCATTTCATAATGATTTTTTGTTAACGAGTTATAAAATTCATAAGCAAAACAGAAATTTGTCTTAAAATAATTAAACTTCAACCTTTAATATCTTTTAAACGGTGAGGTTTACGAAAAAATTGTAAGAGACTTTTTGTAGAGCGTTCAATTTCCTACAAGTATATGAGGAGAGATATTTTTAACTAACAGTTGATAGAGAGATATTATTTTTTTTTCTAATACTGAGGAAAAATGGAAAACTGTAAAGCGGAGGACCTTCCTATTAAAATTAAGAGCTCATATTTGGAGAGAATTTTCTAGAGGTGTCTAGCAACCTATTTTTCAGAGTATAAAGTAAAAAAAAAATTGTCGATATTTTTTGACCCACCCTAATGGCTATAAACATCTAAGTCGAATTACAAATACACAAATGATAAATTTAATTCTGAATTTGATATTACTATTATAATTGCTTAAAAAGGTGTTTAGCTATCATTTAAAATTTTTCCTGAGTACGGCACTGAACGTTTTCAAAATACCTGTATCTATTAGAGGAGAGAGAGAAGAGAATAAAAGTCAATACAGGACAAAATATCCAACAATTTTTTTAATCAATAATATTTTGTGTGTTCAAAGCCATGCTCAGGAAAAATTTTAAATGATAGCTAAGGCAAGCTAAAAACTTTTTATTACATTAGTAATATCCTCTAATTCAGAAACAAAAATGACTAGATTTGGTCATAAAAATAGCAGCGACGTATTCAAAAAAATTAACCCGATGATGGCCACTCAGACGAAACGTCGGATTGCAAAAATGTCGACGCCATTGTATAGAGCGAAAAAAGTGGCATTGTAAATATGTAATTTATTTTAAAATTTGTTTTCAAATAAAGCCAGACAAAAATTTAACAATTTTGCAAAATTTCGGGTTTTTCCGGATACCTCCGAAGCTACCCGGAATTTTAAAACTTTCTAACGGCATATTGTTAGGTATAAAAAAACACAACTTTTTTCTAATCTGAGCCTCCCCGTCCGTATCTCTTACCCTTTCCTAGATCCTAATGCTATCCCATCTTGGACACACTGTATATCTATGAATTCATCAAAATTAAAAAAAAAATAAGTACATTAATCGATCCTACAGAAAAAAAAAAATATTATTTATTTTATTTATTCACTATTCAACTTATGTTTATGGCAATACTTTACAAAAAATAAAGTTTTGGGTCAATCAATGAGATAGTTTTTTTTAGTTTTTTACAAAGAATTGATTGGTGTAATCAGTTTTTGAATGTTTTTTTAATTTAAGCAAATTATCAACAATAACTGAAAAATTCATTGTTGCAAGTTATTTTCTTTCTTTGCATTGCATGTTTTTGAACTGTGGTTACAGATTTTTTTATTTCACCAAAAAGTATATGTCAAAACGAAAAGAATTATTACCGGCAGAACTCTGTACGATGATTTTTTTAAGTAGAATTTTTCTTTGAAAAAAAGTGTTTCAGGCCGAAAAAAATGAATATCTCAGAAATATTTAAGACACAGAAAAGGATACTTTCACAAAGTTTCGTTAAAATTAAATTATTTGTGTGGCAATGAGAAATAAGAAACGAAAAATCAGAAAAAAACTTTTTCGCATTTTTCTCGGAAATTTTGAGGTTATGTTAAAAAGTGATTTCTACAAAAGTGGTAGATTTTTGCATGATCTACAACTTTTATATTGGATACTTTTTTGTTTGAGTACAACTTTCGCCAGAAATCCCAATGATACAATTTTTCATAATTTTTCAACCCCCCAAATCAACCCTCCGCCGCCCCTGCTCACGCATTTATTTTTTTTTTCGTTTATTATAAGCCCCTTTACTATTTCCACTTATAAAACTCCAGGTAACGATTTTCTTTTTTTTTCCCGCTAAATGAGTTATTTCGATCGGTCTATTATTAAGAGGATAAATTAGAGTTATGATTAGTGCATAATTTAATTTTAATTTAGATTTTACCTACAGTATAAAACTAAAAGATTCGAGTGGTATTCTATATCCCTGTGCATGTTTCGGGAGACTCGCACTTCTTCGGCGTGCTGGTATAAATATAATTACTTTTCATGCTGAAAGCGATTCTCAAATCTACACATAGAGCAATAAAAAAAGAAAATGAATGTCTGTTCATCTAAACTCATTTACATCGTAAATTATACATACAGTGAAAATATATATCGTTATTGCGTCTTTAAAAATGTGACGTGTATTTTACCAAATTGCTCAGTGGAGTTAATAACTGTTTCTTTGGCTTTTTTTATTTAAGAACTGCAACAATTATTATTTTTAATTATACTGCGAATTCTGCACTTAACGCGTTTTGCTGGTAATATGCACGTTACATCTTGAAGGCGCAACGAGGATGTACACTTTTAAGATTCACCCTGTACAAACATAAAACAAAAATAATTGAATGACAAACAGAATTCTGATCTGCTGAACCCATCCTATTAAAATATTTGTCTTGATTTCCTTTGCATAAATAAGTAGAATGCATAACCCGTTATTCTGGAAATATAGGACAACCCTACATATTTATTAAAATGAAATTTAGAGAATGTTGCAATTATTACAGGGGCCAGTTGTCACCCGAAAATGTCCAGAGGGTGGTGATCGAAGCCTTCAATACCACTCACCAGAAGGCTTCCGAATACTACCACTGGATCTACGAGAAAGTCCAGACAAGCATCAAATGAGCTATGGTTGATAATTAGGTTTAATTTCAGTTTGATTTGTAAGATGAATCGTTAAGACTAAGTAAACGTTTAAGCATGTAAAAACTGGTCTGTTTTTAGGTTATGGTTGATTATCAGTGGATATGTAATTTTACAGTAGTCTTTTTATACATTAATTTATTTATAAACGCCATTATGTAAAAAGTTGTTAATACATTTTTTTATTACATTTTTTGCTATTTATTCCTCCTCATCTCTCACTCGGAAAAAATAACGCCAGGCTATTTTGGTAAATTGTCTCGCAGAGTTTGTCCGGGTCTTCATTTTTTACAGCCGATAGGACGTCTAAAACTTGCCTTAAAGAAAACACACCCTTATTTGATATTTTAAAATGGTACTTGTGCGTTTGATTACCTTATGTTGATTGGTTCATTTCTACTCTTGACCGTGTGATTTGGCAACCATTTTTCCTTCTTAGTGCTAGGCAGCGATTGATTTTCTTTGGTAATGAATCTGGATCCTGCATGACTGGGTCTAATTTCGCACCAGGGACAATCGGTTTCTATTAAAATTTTGTCAGAAGGCAGATTTTTCACACACTCTAAATTCTCTTGTGTTTTCAATGAACTAAAAATCGGTTGAAACTTTGAAGTTTAAAATATAAAAATGGGCCATGTCAGATATATACAGGGTATTGGGAAGCAAATGGGCCATGCCTTAAACTTCCTTGGATGAAAATGAAAATTCAGATCAAGTTACCTTAGTACAGTTTTGCGTTATTAAAGTTATGTGCCCTCATAGAAATATTATTTTTTTCCTTTTCAGGGAACCTGTCAATCTTTTCGCTATTCAATTAAATTTAATATAGGAAAGTTATTGGGATTTCCCGAGATCGCCAGAGGCTTATTTCTTACCTAAAAGATAGATGTCGCTAAGAAGCAGTTTTATTTTTTACTATATTTCCTTGCTATACATTTTGGAAACTTCATATTTTCCGTAAACGAGGTATATTTATATACGTAATTTTTTAAGGAATGAAAAATACTTCCAAACATCCCATATATTACAAGATGTGTTAGTTGCAAGTTTTTGAGATAAATTTTGGAAACAGGTAATTAAATTAATTGTTATTTAAAATTTGAGGTGATCAAAAAATTATCAGTGTACAATTAGTGTAGTATGTATGATTTTATAAAACGACAAAAATAAATGAAAAATACCATCCATTCAATCCAATGTAATATCCTAGGTCAATAAAACGCCTAGCTTCATCAATAGTTCCATCAAAACTATGTACCACACCTTTCAAGCCACTGAATTTAACTAATATATTATACAAATCGTCGGCAGCATTTCTGCAATGCAGAAAAAGGGGAAATTGAAGTGTTTTGCTCAGTTCCAATTGGTACTCAAAATATCTGAAAAAAAAATGAGATAAATACGCAGGTAATTAAAAGTACTAAAATGATAAAATTCTATTGGTATATACTTTTTCTGAATATTCTTGGGACAAAACTGTGTCCTGTCATAATCTAAACCACATTCACCAATAGCTACTATTTTATCTTTTCCTCCGAGCACAACGTTTATTAACTTCTCTAAATAGTTGTTTGGGTCTTGCCCACTTTGTTCGAATTCATTGCACCTTGTCGGATGGCATCCTACAGTTGCGTAAAGTCTATCTAAAATATATTTGTATCGTATTTAAATTTACACGAAAGTATATTTTAAAATGTTCTACATCGATCACTTTGTATATGTCAATTACCATCTGTTTTAGCCAACTCCAAGGCTTTCTCAGACTCCTCCAAACTTCCACCGGTAATGATAATTTTGTTTAAACCTGCTTCCCAACTTCTCCCTAAAACCTGCTGCAGATCTGGCTCGTGTTTTTTGCTTCCATTGTACATCCCTGCGTACATACCATCAGTGAGGTTAGCACCAATATCTACAAAAAAAAATTTAAATCGGCGTTATTTGATATTTACAATTTACGAAACTGAAGATTTAGTAATATTTACAAAATTAACAAAGATAGGGAATCACATAATTTACCGATATATTTGCGGACTCGTGCTTTCGACATTTCGTTTTTTAACCTTATTTGTATTTTTTTCAGTCTTAATTATCAGTAAAAATATGAAAAATTACACATAAATGGTTCGTAAAAGAAGTTTTGTATTATTGTCACTCCTATTCTTCGTGTTATTTATATTAACAACAAATTATTTATTGATAATCTTGCCTTCGGGAAGTGAGGTTAGAAAACCGTTAACTGTAGAAGAAAAAATTAATTATGAATTAAGTAAGTTACCAGCAGAATATGCTATTAAACCGCTAATTGAAGATACAACTGTGGACGTATTTTTGGAAAATTTTAAAAACATAGTGAAAATTGAACAATTAGATCTGAACCATTTGTGGACAGAATCTAATTCATGGGTGTTCAAAAGCCAACTCATAAATTTGACCAGTCCCAGTCTGGGGAAATTATTCGTTGCTTTGAAAAAAGCCAAAATCATCAGCGCTGATGTAGACACTAGGGGCACACAGTTGAAATTACTACTTACGTTAGAGGTACCATAATATTATGAACATTGTATTCAATAGGTATTTATTTGAGTTTGTTTTTTTTTAGGGAAACCAGCTTGTAGTTTTCAAACCGCAATGGTACGAAAAAGAAAGAATAATAGAAGGGCCTGTATATGCAGGTAAAGATCGTTACAGTTCTGAAATAGTGGGTTTCTATCTCTCGGTTATTTTTAAAAAGCCTCTAACACCGATGAGTGTAGCACGGCAACTTCATTTAAAACGGGAAATTATACCAGTTGCCACACAGAGGCTCTCAGATACGATTTTTGCAAAGGACAATAGGACCTGTTTTTATGGGAAGTGTTATTTTTGTAAAAAGGAAGACGCTGTTTGTTCCGATGAAAATTCGATTTTAAATGGTGCTGTGATATTTAACTTTAAAGCTCCTTTAAATAATTACAGATCTCCATGGCAGCGTACATATAAGAAAGGTAAAAAAGCCATGTGGCAAGAATACGGAGAAAATTATTGCAAGTATGTTTTGCATTATAAAATACCACATTGTGAAATTATTTATATTTAATTATAGGACTATTAAAGAAAAATTATCCAAGAAAAGGATATATGACCTAATCGATACCGCGATTTTTGATTTTTTAATACAGAATGGCGACAGGCACCACTATGAAACTATTGATGACGCAGTAATTTGGCTAGACAATGGTAAAGGACTTGGAAATCCAAATGTGCATCATATTGATATATTGGCTCCATTATACCAGTGCTGCATGTAAGTTAAAAATTGCACATTGTTCACGTAAATAATTTTCATTAATTCCTTAGGCTGCGTAGAGAAACTTGGAAAATATTGTTGGGACTAACTGGTGGAATATTGCGTGAAAAATTGGAATCCATGCCGGATATACATAATTTAATAACAGAAGATCACTTAATTGCAATCGAAAAACGACTTTTAATCGTTTTCTCAACAATTGAATATTGTAAACATCAGAAACAAATAGAGCATTATTTGTTGTACTTTTTTTTTATTAATTAGTATATTTAAATATATAAATTCCCTCCATAGCTCTTTAAGAACAGAGATCCACAATTGAGAGTTTATTACGATCTTCAACAATAAAGAAAAAATAAACAAGTTTAAGATGAAGTTAAGTACCTATATAGTGAAATTTCTTTAAAACCTGACAGGTCAACTTTTTTATTTGATGTGATAGACTAGTACCACAGCAGTACATTAGAATCATTCCAACCGTCTAACGCAATCCCATTTGGATAGTCGGTTAACCGGTTTCGGATAATTCGGTTATTCGATTCTTCAAATATCCGAAAACCGGTTATTCGGATCTTCAAATATCCGATTATTGAAATAACCGATTATTCTATAATCTACTTCCTTTTTTTTTTTTTTTTTTAGCCATCGATTCGTCCGATTATAATTGACCTTAGACAATTTCTCCGGGTCTGTCTTTGTAAAGCACCGATTTTCAGGTCGCTAGACATGACAATCCCCTCCTCAGGCAAGCCGTTGACTACGTACCCGACGTGACCGACAAACACAAAAGACCTAGACACCGCCGCCATTATTCTATGGCTAGAAATTGGCCTCAATGATTTGGGAGTAGTCTGAGTCAGGGCGTTTTTAATGTCAGTCTCAAGGGAGAGGATTGCCGCCTCCAGATCATGGGTGGTTTCGATGACTGGGAGCGGAGTAAAGGTAGTATACCAGAGCCCTTTTCTTTTATTCATAATTTCCGAATCATAACCCGTGAAGATCCGATGGAAACCAATCAGGTTGCTAGATTTCAGATCGTAACACGTTATGATTCTGAATTCATGATTAAAAGAAAAGAGCTCGGGATATTCTCTGGCAACTCTGTTCGCTGCCTCTGAACCATACATCTCAAGGTGCGATTTTTCTTTTATTTATTTCTCAATGTAGGTAACCTTACTTTTCCAATAAGAAAATTTACATTTTTTAAAAAATATATAAAAAAACATGCTTTATAAAAAAGTTATTCTTCACAGGAACAGGACACTATTGTACAAGAAAGATAGATGCCAGGTAACTATCATGAAGCTCACAAGTGTATATCTATATTTGTAATTATTTATTGGTATATGAAAATTTTGTTATTTAGTCATATTTGTGCACAATATTCTCTAAAAAGTACTAAATGCAATATATATTTTTAATTCTCTGTTTTATGTTTCAGGTTACAAGTTTTATTACAAAAATATATGAATTAAACAAATTATATTATGGTCATATATCTCATACGAGGATACCAATTGGTATAAAAAATGATATATTACAAAATTTTCCTCGACCAAATAGAGCAAATTCAGATCTTGCCACTTTATTAAGCAATAGCAGTATTTTACAGAAATCCAGTGTATTAAATTTGAATGTCGACATCCGATTTATTCATAGCTTTGGATCATCGTCGATATTAAGGAGTGATGGTGGTTTTAGTCAGTTTTGTTGGAAAAGTACCGATGCTAATATATCTTTAGATTCTGATGCAATATTACGAAGTTCTTCACCGGTCGCAACTACTACAGAGAGGGTATGTTTAATGTTTTCTATAAAAAAGTTAATTGCATACCAAAGTGGTAAATATACAGAAGAATTTGTAATATATCTTAATTTAGGGAATAAAAATTTTCTATATACAGCATAAATAAATGTATTTATTATAAAGATAAAAAAAAACATACCACAGAAATGAGACAACCCCGAAATCCAAAGCCAAAGGCTATGCGGAAGAGGGCTACACTTGAAAAAACGCGGACAGACACCCATTATCCATCGACATTGCCAGTGCCGACACCAGGAATCGAACCTGGACCAGAATAGGAAGCCTGGCCGAGAAATGCTTGCCACCGTACTCTCGACCGACTACGCTACCGTGGCGAAATATTAAGCTAATTCAAATAAATTTTAAAAAGTTCTCCAATTTTTTAAAACCTTAATTTTGTTACATTGCATTTTATATTTTTTGTACATTTTAGATCATTTTTATGCAGACAATGACAAACAAGACATATACTGACATTGTTTCTTTACCCTAAATCGTTATTTGCAATATATCTAAAAATTGATAATTATTTTCTGAGACGCCCCAGAATATAGATTACTGATCACTCAAAATCAACGAATGTGAATATCCACATATCACATATATTGACCTGAAGAATTACAGTTTTCTGCTGTAAACTTAAAAAAAAACAGTGTCACATAGGGCAACTATATCAGCGTAACAATTAATTTCAACAAAAAAGTTTTTGTGTATACTTAAAAAATGTTAAAAAATTATTATCAAATATACCGGGTGACTCAAAGTGAACCTACTTCGATTTAAATTTTGGAAATAGGCACAATAGGGTTTTTTGTGATCTTTTCAAATATAATACTGGAAGTTGAAATCAACTTTGTTATTTTAAATGGAACATTGTATATTTTTACATTTTTGAATTCTACGCTTCATTTCAAGGTGATTTTCATCAAGTTTCTCTATTCCGTTTTCGAGATATTTAGCATTTTAGGAAATTAATTAAATTTCTTTGCTATCTTCTAAAATCTAAACTTTTTGTTATGCATAGGCTGTAAGTTTGGGTAGGTTTCTTTAAATCGTCTACACGTTCTGTTATTGTTCCTGTCACATTGCCCATAAATAACAAATAAATTCATAATAACTTCATGTGTGTAATTATTTCTATCCATGTTGATTTAAACTGGTACAACAACAATTTCTTGATGACAAATAGTGGTTGAAAGCCATATGTTTTGAAGTCACGCTAAAATTTTTACAGCCACCCTCGCAGTTAAGTACGAATAATAATATTAATCTATTTCAGTAGAGTACCTACCTAAATAACTGCAAGTAACATAAAAACTAGAAGAGATAAGTATAGGGAACCATAGTATGGATGGAAAGAGAATAAAATGGCACATCCAAATTTGAAAAAATGATGTTCCATTACAAAAAATCTAGTTTAGATGATTTCCAGTGGACCAAACTCGGTACTGAATTATCACCACCCTGTATAAGATTCGGTAACTCTGAAGATATGGTTATGCAGCTTAGGTATTTAGCTCCTGCTCTTGCAAATATTCTTGCTTTATCTGTCTAACTGTAGGTTTTAAAGTAGATTCTGGTTTTAATTTTTTTTCCCAAAAACGTTAAAAATCTCGAAAACTGATAATTTTAGATATAGGCAAACTTGACGAAAGTCACCTTAAAACGAAGTGTAGAATCCAAAAATGTAAAAATATACAGTGTTCCATTTAAGATAACTGTTACAGGAACAAAATTATTAGATTTGAAAAAAGCGCACCCAAAAACCCAAGTGTGTCAGTTTTCAAAATTTAAATCAAAGTAAGTTCTGAAATAATCTAATAGGCCACTAACTTTGAGCCACCCGGTATAATTATATTTAATATCTATGTACTTTACAAATATCAGCTACTATGTAACAGCAACACTCTTTGAAAAGAAATACATATTTTGCTATGCAAGTGATTAAAAAGTAATTTGTTGGGCAACAGTGCCTTTCTAAATTTAATTGAACACAGAATTATATATTAGTACAAAATAATAGCATTTCCTTATCTTTTAAATTAACTTCTTGTTACTTGAAATAACAACTTTATTTCTTTTTTTATGAATGACGAAGAATACTATTCATATATCAAGCATAACTGTCAATACTGTCAAAGTACAATTGTTCTCTCCTTTTTAGATCAGGCCAACACTGACCAGGACGCAGAGACTTAAATTTAAATAAGTACCCAACAGAGTTGTTAGCAAACTGTTACATAGTGTATTTCTGAAAATAATACTTATGACGGTAATGAAGTAGACAGACAATTAAAATACGTAAATTCCCCTAGAACAAACCAATGTTGATTTGACAAGACCTCGATACTTTATTTTTTAATATGATATCGCTTGAAATCTATATCATTTTCAGGCAAAAGAAATATTCTACAATGATACTGAAAATGCCAAGCAGATTTCAAAACAATTCCCGGCCCCAAAAAATGTGTTACACAACATGTTTGATGAAATATCAAGACAGAATAACAATAAATCCCTTAAGTTGACTCCATACTATAAATTGGTCAAAGATGGTAAACAGTCCATTTGGATTTGCACATATCACATATACTGGCCGGAAGAAGTAAAATTTTTGGCAAAGGACACCAGAAAAAGCGTAGCTTCCCATAAGGCAGCTGTTGCGGCTCTGACTTGGCTAAAAAGCAATAATAAAATCACTAAAGAGGGTTTACCGGTGATTTATGGAAAGGAAGAAGTGAAAACCATAACCAAGAAAACCGTGCCTGTTTTATTAATGGACAAATCGACAGTAAATAAAATGCAGAACATCATCCAACTGTATTGTGCCCAGATCGCGCCTCATATTACCCAGAACGAATTAGAAAATGCTCGGGACACGGACGAGTCTGAAGATGCATCGGAGACATTCCAAGAAACTGGAGATGTAACTTTAAGAAATACAAGGCGGCAGAGATACCTTGGGGTGAATAAATACTTAGCAAAGGAGAAAGTTAACTTGCCTATAGCGGCCTACAAGTAAGTCTGTCATAATTGAAATGAAAACAGTTTAACAGGATAACAAATTTCCATGATATCCTCGATAATATCTAGTCAAAACGCTGTCCGTATTTTAATGTGTTGATTTACAAAGGAACCTCGATGTTTTTAGGTGTGACTTTATGAATTTATTGAAAGAAAACCAAATAATAATAGTGAAAGGCGAACCAGGCTGTGGAAAAAGTACTAGAGTTCCGCAGTACGTCCTAGAGATGTGGGCAAAGGAAGATGGTCTTTTGGGAGAGCCGGGCCGTATAGCAGTCACGCAGCCAAGAAGGATTGCTGCCATATCTTTGGCCGAACGAGTTGCAGTGGAAAGAGATGAATCTGTAAGTGAAAATTTGGCACGTCAAGATGTAACAAATATGTTTTTACAAAGAACGGATGCATTGTGCTCGTGTTATAATTACACTTGCATTACGACAATTATTTTTTAGGTTGGCGATATCGTAGGCTATCAAGTTCGATTGAAATCCAATTTTAACCCATCGACGGGCAGGGTGCTTTATTGTACTACCGGTATACTCCTAAGACACTTCCAGTCGGATCCCAGCCTCTCTAATTTTTCCCACATCATCCTCGACGAGGCACACGAACGCGACGTTAATACAGATCTGCTGATGAACTTGTTGAGGAGTGCCTGTAAGATGAATCCAATGTTAAAACTTGTAATTATGAGTGCCACGATCGATACTTCTATGTTTAGCCAATATTTCGACGGAGCCCCCATCATGGAAATCCCAGGATTTACGTATCCGGTCGTGCAGGTAAATTATGTGTGTTTACTTTAAAGAGAAATGCCGTTTGTGATTGAAAATTTCATATGAAAAAATGCAGTCATAGGTGGCTCATGTCATTTGTTTAAAATAAAACGTTGACAAATGACACATATTAGTTTTCCAATAATTACAGTTTTATCAGCTTGCATCTTTCAATTCAACTATACTATACTCCGCGGTCGAAATTATAGAGAGTGACTCAGGCATAATATAAAAACACTATTACCATAACGCGTATAAAATATAAAATGATTTTTATAACGGTTCAATATTATTTATCTTTGTGCCGCTCGCTACGCACATCGATAGAATCTATAATCGTCTATAGATTGAGTTACACTGAACGTCGATTTATATTTTATCTCTGTCTTTTGCACTTGGTAGGGAATAGGAAAATGCTTTTTTAGTGGGTGTAAACGGACTTGATTTACCCGTCCTGAGAAACGTCACAGCATAAGCGTAGACGAGGGGTCTAATTTCGTGGCTATAATAAATTTATAAGTTAGAAAAACACAACTGGGACGTTTTAAAATGCTGTAATAATTAAAATGGATCAAAGTGCCGCTTATAGCAAAGCGTATAGTTTATTGTTTGTTAGTTAGTATGTGGTGTGAATAGTCATTATAACAATATTTTAAAAGAATATTTTGTGTCGATGCGATTTAGATAAAATAATAGATTTTCGTGTTACATCATACATTGCATATTGAAGTCGACATATCTCGAAAACAAGTAAATATGAGGAAAAACTTTATATTACAAAAATTACTCAACTATATTTCCACCTTCCAGGGAACAAAAAATTTTTTAGTATCGCCATGCCATCTATACAGAAAGTTTAGAACTAACAATTCTAACTACAATTTGAAGCTATTCGAGGGACCTAACAACCTCACTTTCCAGAATTAAAATAAATTTCTTCATTTCGGAGATATTGGCAGCGGGAGTGTTAAAAGGCACTTCCTGTATATACAGGGTGTTTCAATTAAAACTTCCCACCTGGAAAACCTCGGAATCAAAAAAAGAGAAAAACCTGAGACACATCGATTTTCTTTTCAAGGGGGACAAGCTACCCCGTAGGCAGTATATGCAGGGTGATTCACTTTTTATGAGTAGGACTTCTCCCATCGATAGATCTCGTCAAAATAATGTTATTTTGAAGCATACACTCTTTCTTCCAAAGGCTTCCTTTTAGAGATATAAGATCTTGACAAAACATTTTCTTTTTTTGGTATTTATTTATTTTTTCTTAAACTACGGAGGCCATTTGTTTTATATTTAGCATGAAGTGTACGAATGAAATGCTCTTATCGATTTTACAAATTATTGTGAAAATAGATCAATCATCATTTACATACTTCAATCATTACCCTGTTTACCTAATTGTAATGAATCCATAAGAAACCAAGTATTTAATTTAAAAATAGACCTAAACCGCAATCTGAACAAAATATATTCATTTTGAATAATGTTCGGTGGCGTAAAAATTATATTAAAAATAGGGGCAATCGGAGCCCCTTACGGATGCCTATGATTGATCTATTTTCACAATAATTTATAAAATCGATAGAGTTTCTCATTAGCACATTCATACTAAATATAAAACAAATGGCTTTCATAGTTTAAGAAAAGTTAAATAAAATTCTATATATTCTTAATAACTCTCATATTTTTACTTTATCTTTAAAGGTATTAAGCTAATTCAAATAAATTTAAAAAATCTAGACATGCAAAAGATATCTAACTCCAAAGACAAAAGTCCTATCTGTTGAATTTTACAAACATTATCTACTTAACAGCTATTAATTACACAGCCCCACAAAATAAAAAAAAGTATCGGATCTGGTATTCAGACCCATGTATTTCCATGTATTTTTTTCCGCTGAATCCGAATCTGCCTTGTGATTTGGCTCAACGGGTCTGAGTTTTCGGGAAAATTCAAAAAACAGGTCAAAATTCACAAACAACGTAATTTATGATCGACGTAAGTTATAAAAAATAAAATTTTACTTTTTGTACTGAGAGATGAGATAACAGCCTAGAAGATTGAGAACGCAATAAAACTTGTAGAATACTCTACTTTCTAAACAAAAGAGAACAATATCTACAAATCGTTCTTATTTTTGTTGCTATAACGTGTTCTTTTTTTTTCAAAGGATCTATGCAACGAGTTACGCTTTCGTTTAGTCCCTCTATTTTTCGTTTCTCTTTTTAACAACCAACAAAAATCGGCCATCATGTTTTCATCCCATCTTCCTTGATATCGCTGTTCTATAACCTTCATATCCTGATGAAATCGTTCGCCTTGTTCTTCGCTATAATCTCCAAGATTTTTCGATACAATTTCTTCGTATTTAGGACTCTTGTTTCCTAAAAAACTTTTCGCCCTATATATATATAGGGCGAAAATTTCCTAATACTTCTGAGGCGAAATTGAAAGAAGGTGTATTCGATGGACCTCAGATTCGGACATTGTTCAAGGATGCAACATTCATCACTAGTTTCAAAGCTGTAGCGACAAATTTTTTAGAAAACAAGAAGAGTCCTAAATATGAAGAAATTGTATCAAAAATGATAAAAGACTTCCAAGATCTGGGGTGTTTGATGAACTACAAGTTGCACTTCTTTCATTCACATCTGGATTGGTTTCCTGAAAATCTTGGATCTCGGCGAAGAATATGGCGAACGATTTCATCACGATATGAGGGTTATAGAACAGCGATATCAAGGAAGATGGGATGAAAACATGATGGCCGATTTTTGTTGGTTGTTAAAAAGATAAACGAAAAATAGAGGGACTAAACGAAAGCGTAAACCTTTGCATAGATTCTTTGAAGAAAAGAGAACACGTTATAGCAACAAAAATAAGAATGATTTGTAGATATTGTATTCTTTTGTTTAGAAAGTAGAGTATTCTACAAGTTTTTATTGCACTCTCAATCTTTTAGGCTGTTATCTCATCTCTCAGTACAAAAAGTAGATGGATAGATGGGTGGATGGGTGGGTTTTATAGGTGGTACGGGTGGATGAATAAATATGCATATTCATGCATGAACGACTGGATAGAAAGATGAGACATATAATTTTTAATTTATATTTTAAATAATTATTAATTCTGGTATAATTCAGTATTAGTTGGGACATGTAAGCCTTCCCTGCAATATCAACGGTTGGGAATCTGATGTGGGAAGTTAGATATCTTTTGACTTTGAGAGAGTTAAGCTATCAAATCAACACTCTTTTATCTGCCTCCTCGGGAAATATTAGAAACCGAAAAAAGTGTCGAAATTGATCCACCCTATATAGCAGGGGTCGGCAAGTAATTTTAGATGGGGTCCGGATACTTTTAAAAATTTTTAACGAGGTCCAGAAAAAAAATTCATATTTCTTACAAATGTTCATTTGAACTCAAATTTAATATGCTTACTAACCATTAAGAACTCAAAACACTCACACAATTGTAAAATACTAGAAAAAATGATAAGGTTGGCACTCAAACGTAAAAAAAAACATTTTTTAAATAATTTATTTGAGTAATTTATACTTTCAAAAAATGTTTGACGGTCCAGTATTTTACCTTCCGCGGTCTGGACCTGGACCGCGGTCCGCCAGTTGCCGACCCTTGCTATATAGGGATGCTCACATATTGGTGCTCTTTATTTTCTTTGAAATTTTAATTTTTGGTGCAAAATGCATTTCAGTCCAGGGCTTGTGGAGAACATACTTAAAATTTTCGGTAACATTATTCGTTACCCAAATTGGGGAACACCCTGTGCAATATTTTGGTTTATCTACTGGTCCGGTGAACAAATAATGTTAAGTGCAACATTCTATTTTTTATGTATTTGAGTCGGAAGAAAATTTACTCCAATTTTGGTCTTCAACATTCCCTCCAAGAATAGAAGAATAACAAAGATAAGCGTGGTAGAACGTTATGCGAATACCTTTCAATATTATTTTTCAGCATTTTTTGGATACATGCAAAAAAATAGATGTCAGCAAAACTATCGCTATGTGCGAAAGTGATGTGCCATCCGTCATTCACGAAGACGTTGCACGGATCATCCAATTCATCCACAAACATAAAAAGGAGGGTGCCGTCCTCTGTTTCTTACCTGGTTGGGAGGATATAAGCAAGATTCAGAAGTTAATTCCTCTCGGTGGCGATCTCACAGTGTATTGCTTGCATTCCAGGTAAATTATGATAATTTGAAACGATAAAATAATAAAAAATAATTATTATTGCACATGTATGTGTCTTTTATTGTTCTAATACCGTTACTCTAATGGTAGATTACAGGATTCCGAGCAGTGGAAGATCTTCTCGAGACCTCCGCCAGGGATCAGAAAGATAATATTGGCGACAAATATAGCAGAAACTTCTGTGACCATAGACGATGTCGTTTACGTTATTGACACGGGAATTCATAAAGAGCAACGATTTGATGTCGACAAAGGTGAGATAACTCGTAGGTATTTAGACGGTCTCGTTGCTATTTAAATATTTAAAATTGTTACCTTTAGAACGTAATGTGTGTTTAATTTGATTTAGGTGTTAACTGTATCGACAACCATTGGATTTCCAAAGCCAGCGCCGACCAGAGAAAGGGCCGAGCTGGCCGTGTCCAACCCGGTGAATGTTTCCATCTCTACACTCGTGAGAAATATGAATCTTTTCCGGATTACTCTCTCCCGGAAATCCAACGTACGTCTCTGACGAAAATCGTACTGGACTCGAAAGTCTTCAGTAACAACATGGACGCCCTGGAGTTTATGACCAAGCTCCCAACACCGCCCGAAGAGAATGCCACCTTGAGGGCCGTGGATGACCTGAAGGATTTGGAGATGTTGGATAAAGAGGAGAAACTGACATCGCTGGGCACGGTATGTGCCGACTTTCAGTTGGAGCCGAAACTGTCCAAAGCTCTGATCAGCGCCGTTATCTTCAAATGCGTTACTCCTGTAGTGGACATAGTCACTTTGTTCTCGGCCGATACTGAATTTTTCACATCGGGGTTGTTGCGTAAGGACGAAATAAAAAGGACAAAGAGTTTGTTTTGCAAAGACAGCGACCACCTGGCCATGATGAGGTTGTTCGAGAAATGGCTGGAGTATTCTCACGAAGGGGACTCCTGGGATCTTAAAAGGTTATGCGATGAGACCAACTTGGTGAATCACAAGATGCAGATGATCGAAAGTAAGTATTTAACTTTTTGCGTGCGTTATGGGTGGTGGATGCCGAGAGGTGTATACAGGGTGTTTCAGGATTAAGTCGACAAACTTTAAGGATATATAAACCGATCAAAATAACTCATTTAGAGGGAAAAAAAAGAAAATTGTTACCTGGACTTTTATAAGTATAAGTTATAAGTGGAAATGGTAAAATGGCTTATGATAAATCTAAAAAAAATAAATGCGTGAGCAGGGGCGGCGGAGGGTTGATTTGGGGGGTTGAAAAGTTATGAAAAATTGTATCATTGGGATCTCTGGCGAAAGTTGACATCAAACAAAAAAGTATCCAATACAAAAGTTGTAGATCATGCAAAAATCTACAACTTTTGGACAGGTAACTTTCATTTTTAGCATAACCTCAAAATTTCCGAGAAAAATGTGAAAAACAGGTTTTTTCTGATTTTTCGTTTTTTATTTCTCATTTCCGCAAAAATAATTTAATTTTGACGAAACTTGGTGAAAGTATACCTTTCTCTGTCTTAAATAATTTCAATTTTTTTTAGATAAAAAAATCAAGAAGTTTCTGAGATATTAATTTTTTTTGGCCTGAGACACTTTTTTTTTCAAAGAAAAATTCTAAAAAAATCATCGTACAGAATTCTGCCGGTAATTATTTTTTTCGTTTTGGCATATACTTTTTGATGAAATAAAAAATTTGTAATCACAGCTTAAAAACATGCTCAAAAAATGCAAAAAAGTAAAAAATTTCTTTCAACAATGAATTTTTCTGTAATTGTTGATAATTTGTTTAAATTAAAAACCATTCAAAAACTAATTACACCATTCAATTCTACGGAAAAAAATAAAAAAAAACTGTCTGATTGTTTGACCCTAAACTATTTTTATACAGTATTGCTATAAACATAAGTCGAATAGCGAATAAATAAAATAAATAATTTTTTTTTTTTTCGTAGGATCGATTAGTGTACTTATTTTTTTTAAAGTTTGATGAATTTATAGATATACAGTGTGTCCAAGATAAGGATGGGATAGGATTAGGATTTAGGAAACGGTTAAAGATACGGGGTGGCTCAGATTAGAAAAAAATTGTTTTTTTATACCTCACAATATCCTGTTTAGAAAGTTTTAAAATTCCGGGTAGTTCCGGAGATATCCGGAAAAACACAAAATTTTGCTAAATTGTTTAATTTTTTCTGGTTTTATTTGAAAACGAATTTTAAAATAAAAATTACATATTTACAATCCCACTTTTTTCGCTCTATACAAAGGCGTCAACATATTTGCAATCCGACGTTTCGTCTTCGAGGGGCCATCATCTGGTTAATTTTTTTAAATAAGTCGCTGCTATTTTTATGACAAAATCTGTCATAAAAATAGTCATTTTTAATTTTGAATATTACTATTGTAATCGCTTAAAAAGTTTTTAAGTCTGAAACGCTTTCAAAATATCTATTGGATGAAGTCATAACAGTATAAAAGTCAATACCGCACAAAATATCCAACAATTTTTTACTACTGTTAGCAATACTAACTGGAAATAATAAAATATTTCATAAATTCGTATTATTTTTTTATTACGTACAACTTTTTAAAATATGGATTAAAAAAATTGTTGGATATTTTGTGCTGTATTGACTTATTCTATATCTCTCTCTACTCCAATAGATACAGGTATTTTGAAAGCGTTCAGCCGTACTCAGGAAAAATGTTTAATGATAGCTTAAAACCTTTTTAATTACAATAGTAATATCATCTAAACAGAATTAAAAATGACTAGATTTTGTCATAAAAATAGCAGTGATATATTTAAAAAAATTAATCTGATGATGGCCCGTCGAAGACGTAACGTGGGATTGCAAAAATGTTGACGCCATTGGATAGAGCGAAAAAAGTGGCAATGTAAATATGCAATGTATTTAAAATTCGTTTTCAAATAAAGCCAGAAAAAAAATTAAACGATTTTGCAAAATTTCGGGTTTTCGGATTTCGCGTCAACAGTAGACTGCAGTTAATACTTTATATTGCTGAAATCTCAAATCATCCTGAGATAATTTATTATTTGTGCATTTGTAATTAATTCGACTTGGATGTTTATAGCAATACTGTACAAAAATAAAGTTTTGGGTCAAACAATGAGACACAGTTTTTTTTAATTTTTTTCCGTAGAATTGAATGATGTAATTATGTTTTGAATGTTTTTTAATTTAAACAAATTATCAACAATAACTGAAAAATTCATTGTTGCAAGTTATTTTTTATATTTTTGCATTTTTGAGCATGTTTTTGAAATGTTATTACAGATTTTTTTATTCCACCAAAAAGTATATGTCGAAACGAAAATAATGATTACCGGCAGAACTCTGTACGATGATTTTTTAAAGTAGAATTTTTCTTTGAAAAAAGTGTTTCAGGCCGAAAAAAATGAATATCTTCTTGATTTTTTTATCTAAAAAAAATTTAAGTTATTTAAGATAGAAAAAGGTATACTTTAACCAAGTTTCGTCAAAATTAAATTATTTTTGCGGAAATGAGAAATAAAAAACAAAAAATCAGAAAAAAACCTGTTTTTCGCATTTTTCTCGGAAATTTTGAGGTTATGTTAAAAAGTTACCTCCCCAAAAGTTGTAGATTTTTGCATGATCTACAACTTTTGTATTCGATACTTTTTTGTTTGACGTCAACTTTCGCCAGAAATCCCAAAGATACAATTTTTCATAACTTTTCAACACCCCAAATCAACGCTCCGCCGCCCCTGCTCACGCATTTATTTTTTTTAGATTTATCATAAGCCCTTTTACCATTTTCACTTATAAAAGTCCAGGTAACAATTTTTTTTTTCTCCAAGTGTAATTTGGTTGGACTAATATTCCTCATAAAAAAATAAGAAAAATATCAAGTATAAATTTTTTTCCAGACGCTTCTTTTTCGAAATATAGGGCGCTAAAAATTTTTAAAAAAATTCAAATTTTTGAAATAACTTCTAAATGAAGAAGACTATTTAAGCCAAATTTGGCATGACACATCTTCTTATAAGATACCATTTTTCCATAAAAGTAGAAGTCCCGCAAGAAACCAGTGGCGCAGTTATGGGGACTCAGACTCATTAAATTATAAAAAAAATTAATACGGCCCTACTGAAAATAAAAATGATGCTGTTTTTAGATAGAACAGTTTGTTACTGACAAAAAGTGTACATTCACTTTTTTTTCCTAACTCTTATAGTTTCACGGCAAAATAGATTTTTCGGAAGGGTGCTACTGGATTCTGTCGATAAACTTTAAATAAACCAAGCAGAATGATGATCAGTTTACGCAAAAAGTATTGTGAACAGATGAGGCAACATTTATTCGAAGGGGAATTTTAAACCAAAGGAACAACCATATTTGGTCCTACGAGAATCCACGGGCGGTAAGGGAAAATAGTTTTCAGCATGAATTCCAATATAACGTATGGTTGGGTTGGACAATACTATTGTTGGTCCTTACTTCCTTCCGCATCGGTTAGATGCTGACATGTTTACTGAGTTCCTTGAAAATGGTTTTCAAGATCTGTTAGAAGATGTTCCGCTTAATATTCGAATGAACAGTTGGTTTCAACTAGATGGTTGTCCTGCCCATTTTGGTAGAGGTCCTAGGGAGTGGTTAAACACTAATTATTCCAGGAGATGGATTGGTCGTGGAGGACCTGCAGCGTGGCCCGCACATTCACCGGACTTGACACCGATGGATTATTTCGTTTGGGGTGCTGTTAAACAAAAAGTCTACGAGGTGCCAGTTGATACCCTAGAAGATCTAAAACAGCGAATAGTCCAAGCGTGTCGAGAATTAACTCCAATTCAGTGTTGATCGGCCACTACCTCCATAATTAGAAGATGTCGTGCTTGTCTACAGTCCGGAGGCGCCCATTTTGAACAAAATATTTTTTAAATCATTTCATTTTTGATCCACTTTTCGCTTTGTCTAGGTATAATATTAATCGGTAATTTTTTGGTTGTTTCAATTTACAAATAAATTTTCATGTATTGTTTGCCATCTTATTTTATTTAAAAGTACACAACACAAGTATGTGAAGTGACTACAAACCGCCTGAAAAAATTTAGGAGTATTGCAAGGGTCGTTACGTTGTCGCATTACGACATTGTCACATTAGATGTTAGATACTTAAATATTTCTATTGTTTTCATAATTTTTTTTTCTAAAAAAAAAAACACCATATATCTCAAAAACGAAGCATCTCGTAAATAATTTTAATACTATTGGATAAAAGTATATGAGACGTCTTCCTAAAGTTTATCGACAAAATCCAGAAGAACCCTTCCGAAAAATCAATTTTGCCATGAAACTATAAGAGTTAGGAAAAAAAGTGAATGTACACTTTTTGTCAAGGGCCGTATTAATTTTTTTTATAATGTAATGAGTCTGAGTCCCCATAACTCCGCCACTGGTTGCTTGCAGACTTCTACTTCTATGGAAAAATGGTATCTTATAAGAAGATGCGTCATGCCAAATTTGGCTTAAATAGCCTTCTTCATTTAGAAGTTATTTAAAAAATTTGAATTTTTTAAAAAAAATTTAGCGCCCTATATTTCGAAAATGAAGCGTCTGGAAAAAAAATTATACTTGATTCTTTTTTATTTTTTTTATGAGGAATATCTCCTTAAAGTTTGTCGACTTAATCCTGAAACACCCTGTATAGCGTGTCCACGGATTGAGCGCACAATTTGAATTTTTTTCTTTAGAATTAAGGAAAATTCATTACGACTACCTCTACAATGGTCTGTACAAGGTGTTGCCAATTTCGGACGATTTTTCTGATAACGACGAGATGGTGAAGGCCGTTTTGTATTCTGGCATCGGCACAGTCCTACATCATCGCACCTGGGACGTTGTTAAGAACAAATTGAAAAACAACGTTAATTGTTTATTAACAAGGTATTATATTCCATGTCCCGTCATGAGAAGATGTTAGAGTTAGAATTTCTAAATATTGCAAACTCATACTACAGTTAGATTGTTTTAGGAATAATCACAGGGCGACGATTACAACCGAGAGCGTAAATTTTAAAAGAAGGAAATTTCCCACAAACTTTTTACTTTACATTAACGAAACCAGGTCGAACATCAGAAGGACCACTTTAATAAGAGAATGTAGTTTAATGCCAAATATTTCGGTATTACTTTTTTCTAATAAGGATTTGGATATCGAAGATGTGAGTTGTAATCCATTACACGACCACTTGAATTAAATTTTTTTTTTTCTAATCACAACAGTTATTTGTGTATTTTACTTTGCAACCGGTAATGGATCTGTTAATTTCTTTTAGGTCAATAAAGAGGACTTCTCCATAGACATCCCTTCTCAGGATCAGGTCAAAGTGTCTATTGAAAACACGAACATAGCATTTCTCTGTGATAGAGCGTAAGTGTATTTAAATTTTGATTAATTCAGTTTAAATTATTTCATTCCAGTCAAGCTCAAGATTTGGTGGATTGTAAGAATTGCATAATGACGGCATACCGCTACTACATCGAACAGCTTACCAACAGCGGAAATGAGAACCGTGACGTTAATAAGTCGTGGAGCGATATTTTGATGTTAATCGACGACATCTTAAGTGCTAACAGAGTTAAGAATTAGTATTTATTTTTGTAGTAGGTATTTTCGAATCGTTGTTAATTTAAAAAAAATATATATATTTTCGTTGAGAGTAAACATCTTTTATCAACATTTTACTGTCTTGTCTTTAATTTTTCAATGTGTTTATTATTCCTTTTTCCAATTTTAGCTTCTTCTGAAGGGACTGTTGCTTGTTGCTTGTAAGTTACGAAATGTGAGGTAAGAAAGATAGGTAATAAATACGTTATCAATTTGAGTGTATTGAAGATGTACAATTTTAGTACTTGCAAATGCAAAGTTGTAGGAAATAACTTGGCAAGACAAATTTACAAATAATTATTTCCGGTGTTGCCAGATTTCTGCAGTAGCTACTAAAACAATTATGTTAAAAAAATAACATAATTTGACAAACCTTCAGATTCTAAATAGAAACTGTTGTGTCACATTTCTTTATTGGAGTAGCCATTTTAAAACAATCGGCAAAAACAACGAAAATAATCTGTAGGTCCAGTTCTTCCGAAGTCAGTTGAATATGCAAAAAAACGTCTGGTAATAAAATTAATGAGTTTCATAGGCGTCCCTAAAAAAATTTTCTGCTAAAGGTAAAAAATTATAATAATTTGTATATAATGTGTAGAAATTTTCTATTATATGTTCATTTGGTCAACAACGTATTTTAATTATTTATGTCCTCAATCAATTTATATTGGTGGTAAATTTCGTTTTGTTCCGTTTCAAAAGGTCTCCAAAATGCCATGTTGTAATAATATTATTTCTCCCTTTCGCAATTGTAATATGAATGATTGATAGAAGGTGCCTATAATAAATTAAAATTGCCTGATTTACACCAAATTGCGCACTGCAGCACCGCACTGCTGGGTAATTTATGAACCATTTGTCGCCTGCTGTGATTTATTGCCCAGTAGCCCAATGCAACTGTCTTTGTTTTCCTTCGCCCGCGCTCGCATTCTTTAACTGGTCGTATACATTTCTACCACCTGCACGTGTAGTTCGACCAGACCTGTATATTGGTATGGCTAAATAAATATGGAAACAAGTTTTTCAAATATTTCAGTGCCGAGTTGCTGCTTAGCAACCGATCCTGGTACATACCTTGAAATTATTGGTTCTTCAATTGACTTCGGAAAAACTATAACAGATATAGTAGGTCTTAGAAATTAAACAAAAATTATGTTGTTCCATCATTATTTTACACTGTCATTGTGTTATTTCACAGCTGTTGTAATTGAATGTGTATAAAAAATATAACGTTTTAATTCAGTTACTAAAATTTTTAATGGGGGTACGCGAAGGGGTTACTTAGAATAGGTAGGTACAGGGTGATTCACTATATTTTGACCCCCCCCCCTTTAACTTTTTTGTTTTAAGAGTTATAGAAGAATGTGAAATATAAAAGTTGCACAATTTTTTATGAAATTTTCAAAGATGATAATAGAAAAACAAGTGAAAGCCAATCAAAAAATGGCCGGGGATGTTAATTTTGTTTATTTAAATGGAACACCTTGTATATTTTTACATATTTGGATAGAGCCTGTCTAGCATAGTCATATAGGGTTTGTTGGGTCCATCTCTAATAATAAGCGAGAAAATAAGATATCTTGTAATTGTTAGACCTCTTTCAGGCATTTTTGCCAATTACGTAAGGATTTAGATTTAGTTGCAATATATTATTTTGACGTATCGGACATTGGATACGGTCCAAAATGCGTATAGGTATTTGAACTAAATCTTATAACTAATTAGATCGTGAGGGGCTTATTTACTCACGGACAATGTTTATATGGTAGGCCGTGACAATGACAGGTAATGTTATGACAACATTGTTATTGTTTGACAGTTTGTATTACTATTTAATTAAAATATTATAGGAATTAAAATAGAGTTAAGTTATTCTCCATTCCATCCTCTAGTTTAGTTCCTAATAATATTTCAATTTTCACTTCTGTGCAACCCATTTTAATTAAATAATAATACAAACTGTCGATCAATAACAATGTTATCATGACATTACTACCTGCTGTCACTATCACGACCTACCATATAACATTGTCCATGAGTAATTGACCTCACACACTCTAATTAGTGAAATTTAGTTAAAATACCTATACGCATTTTGGACAGTATCAATGTCCGATATGTCAAAGTATATCTATTGCAACTAAATCTAAATCTTTGCGTAATTGGAAAAGTCAGAAATAAGGGGTCTTATTTTCTTAATAAAAACCTTTTCGTTTTTTAATATTATCTCGCTTATTGTTGGAGATGGACCCAATAAACTCTATATGACAATGCTCTACAGGGAATGTTCTATCCAAATATATAAAAATATACAGGGTGTTATAAAAAGTTAAAGGGGCGGGGTCAAAATATAGTGAATCACCCTGTACATAGAGATGAAAACAGAAAAATCAAGTTAATGAATAATTAAGCAGTTCAAATAGTTTTAGTACTTCACAATAGTATATATTTTAATTTTTCATTTAAAAAATAAAAACCTCAACTAGTTTAATCCAAAAGCCTTATTCTCGAACTTATTAATGTTCAGCCATGCAGGTCCCTACTAATGATCTGTCTGCTAATTAGCAAACTCAAATTTTTCTTTTACCGATAATTAATCTGTTTAATTTCTAATTTTATTATTGTACTAATGGCACTTATTAGGCACTAAAATAAATAAATAAAAAATATACTTACCTACAATCTAATGTCTAAACCTAACCCCTGGAGCCTATATTCACTAATTAAAACTGAAGTATAATTACCCATAAGTCATAACTCTGATTATAGTAGGATAGGAGTGTATCAAAATTTTTCGAAGAATGCACCATTTTTTGAGAAAAAAATTACACATTTTATTGTAGGTTTTCTAAATGTGTTATTTAAAGGTGCAAGTAGAAATATTTGGATCTCCCCAAAAAATTTACAATTATCCGTCCAAAGCATTTTTAAACTGTATAGCAAATATCTTTCAGACTATTTCAAATAATAAAAAAATAATAATTCCGGGGGCACATTCTGAGGAAAAAGTCCGAGAAAAAACTCCAGGGAAAGAAATTCAGAAGAAAACTCAGGGGGAAAAGTCCGGGAAAAAAGTCTACAGAAAAAGTCCGGGGGAAAAGTCCGGAGCAAAAATTCCGGGGAAAAGTGCGAGAAAATATTCCTAAGCGAAAAGTCCGAGGGAAAATTTAATAAATATAAATGTCAATTCTAAACAAGTTTCCTGAATAACATATTTATATAAGTACTGTTAAAAACAAAGGCAGTTTATTATTTTTATATTTACTGATTTTGTGATCACCCTGTACATGCCAAGTAAAAGTTCTCCATACCAACCGCATTTTAAACAGAAACAAAAATTTTAATGAAGAGTACCTTTTTGTAGTAAAACGAAAAATAAAAATTTTGTACCGTCCGTGTCTGTCAAAGTAGACCGATTCATACACAAACTGAAATAATAATGTAGATTTCAATTCTAAGTAACTTTCCTCAAAAATATTCGTGTAATGTTAAAAACTAAACGATTTATATATTTACCAATTTATTGATAACCCTGTACATGTAAGGTGAACATTCTCTTATCCCAACCGCGTTTTAAAGACAAGCAAAAAATTTATATGAACAATGCCTTTTTCTCGTAAATGTCAATTCTAAAGAACTCTCCTTACTTAACATATTTCTGTACTGTTAAAAACGAAGGCAGTTTATTCTGGAAAGATTTATATATTTACCTATTTTCTGAGCCCCTGTACATGCCAGGTGAAATTTCTTCATGCCAACCGCATTTTAAAGACAAGCAGAAATTTTAAAAGAGATTGCCTTTCTCTCCTAAAATAACAAATAAAAACAAAAAGTCCGGGGGAAACAGCCCGGGGAAAATGTCATCGAAAAAAGTCCGGGGAAATATTCCTAGACGAAAAGTCCGAGGGAAAACTTAATAAATATAAATGTCAATTGTAAACAAGTTTCCTGAATAACATATTTGTATACTATTAAAAACAAAGGTAGTTTATTCTTGAAGAATGTTAATATTTACTGATTTTGAAAGCGTCATTGTAATCTTAAAGACGAAATTAAGCGACCTATTAAAATATATCACCGTTTTTTTGACATTAACATTCTCAAATTGTGCATTAAAAAACCGTGCGTTTATGCTATCTCATCGAAAATAGTTGCAATGGATAGCTGGCAAAAAATACATTTTTAAAATTAAAAAAGTACCCTCTACGACCAACAGGAGCCATGATAAGATTTTTTTTTAAATCGTAGCGCAATTATTTATAAATATTATGATTGAATTTTTCGCAAAATACAGTTTACGACGTAAACTACGATTTCCCGTGAATTGCATTGAAAAATCCGGGGAAAAAGTCCGGGGAAAAGGTCCGGGGAAAAATCCGGGGAAAATGTCATCGGAAAACGTCCGCGGAAATATTCCTAGGCGAAAAGTCCGAGGGAAAACTTAATAAATATAAATGTCAATTCTAAACAAGTTTCCTGAATAACATATTTGTATACTGTTAAAAACAAAGGCAGTTTATTCTTGAAAAATGTTAATATTTACTGATTTTGTGATCACCCTGTACATGTCAAGTTCTTCATACCAACCGCATTTTAAATAGAAACAAAAATTTTAATGAAGAGTACCATTTTGTAGTAAAACGAAAAATAAAAATTTTGTACCGTCCGCGTCCGTGTCTATCAAAGTAGACCGATTCAAACACAAATTGAAATAATATAGATTTCAATTGTAAGTAACTTTCCTCAATAAAATATTTGTGTAATGTTAAAAACAAAACGATTTATATATTCACCAATTTATTGATAACCCTGTACGTGCAAGGTGAACATTCACTTATCCCAACCGCATTTTAAAGACAAGCAAAAAAATTGCCTTTTTCTCGTAAAAATAAATATAAATGTCCTTTCCTTACTTAACATATTTTTGTACTGTTAAAGACGAAGGCAGTTTATTCTGGAAAGATTTATATATTTACCGATTTTCTGAGCCACTGTACATGTCAGGTTAAATTTCTTCATGCCAACCGCATTTTAAAGACAAGCAGAAATTTTAATGGAGAATGCCT